TATATATATGTATATAATTATAAATATTATATTATATTATTGATATAGAAATAAGTGTATTTTATGTTCTATTCAATTCAGTATATAGACCTATATATATATATATATGTATACTGAATTGAATAAGACATACAGTATAATTGAAAATAAATGTAAATAGTTCTCATGAACAATACAAAATTCTCCTAGATATACAGTATATATTTATAATGAAAACAGTTGAAAACAACGACTAATAATTACAGTATATTGTTTTGACTATAAATTTCTCGACAAAATATAATTTTTTTATTCTTTCCTCTCTGTTATCTATTTTTATCTACATTCATGTATAGAAGTATTTATGCCGTCAATGTGTCTGGTTAACATGCTGAAGATAAAATGTTTATAAACAGTAATGTTTCTAAGCAATGACACTTTTTTGATCTTTATAATTAATAATTAAAAGCTCGAGTGTCAACGACCAGCTGTTTATTTAAATTCGGACACGTGTCTATTCTATTTTAAATTCTGCATAGGGTTAACCCGTACACATATATTAAGAAATTAGTCCGTTTTTTTAAAACTCTGACATATTTTAGATCCATAAATTTTTATACATTACGTTATTTAATTGATTATAAGTTTATCGTAATCTTTGTTAACAAATACGTCCAAGTGACCATTAAAAAATGCTGCCCTACGCTTTGATATGTTATCTGACAATTTTTAAATTATTTGTTTATGAAATTTATGACAGAAACTAATCATATATTTTACAATTCGTTCATTTCGTAACTTAAAGCACAAGAAATTAGGAAAATAAACTTCTTGCCGATGAAATTTGTAAGCAAGTTTTTCTAATAAATATGATGAAAATATTGAAATTTTTCAGCTTTCTTATTTACTAATGAATGAGGGTTATGCGTGGCTCGAATGTTACATAAACTATGGTTTGATACTTGTATTTCAATTTATGTCGAAATAAAAAATAATTTAAATTAATTTTTACCATTTGTTTAATGTGTACTTTTTAATTTAACTCGTTGAAAATTAATTAAGTTAAAGATAATTTTGTAGATCTCTCACATTCCTAGGTTATTATTTTAAATACGCTGTCTTCCGGCCCATTCAAGTCTACGAAATTAACACCTAACTTAGTCGTGAATTAGGAATATCAAATAAATTTATTCATTTAACATTCTTAATTCTTTGTGTAATAATTTTAATAATTTATTTCAAACTTCAAAAACAGTGCAATTAAAGGAAATAAATTAAATACTTCTGTTTTACATTTAAGGTAGCAAAGAAACTTAACAACTGTTTTGCAAGGACCAAATCGGAAGATTCGGGTATTTTTGGATCTACTCCACCAGATAAAAACGAAACAGACGAAATAAAAAATGACACAAATGACAAAAGACATCAAAAAACAAACGTTGATTACATATGCGAACAATTCACTAAAGTATCACAATGGTCAGCAAAACACCCCAAACCTCCAGATGCATTAACTAAAGTGAGTTGATATGTTCTTGTATATAAAAGAAAAATTTTATAATATAAGAAATTTCTGTTAATATATGTATTTTTAATTGAATGTAGATAATCGGTTTGGGTGCAGTAGGCAGAATGATATGCGTAATGGGAATCGTCCAAAGGCCATTAGACGCTTGGGAAAATGCATTCTCGGTGAGTTGTCTTTTAATTTTTAAATAGATAAATACATTTTACAAGTAAACATGATGATAAAATTAATTTCAAGCTTTATCACTTCATTCTTTAGGAATGTTTCCCACAAGAACCTAAAGGAAAGCACGAGATACAAAAGTTAGTAAAACAAACAATTTAATTATAAAATTGCTCTTTAAAATAATTTTAATTGCTTCAAATAAATATTTAAATCAAATTTTTGACATTTATTTTCAGATCGTACAACGAATAAATATTCCAGTATGTAATCAATGTAAATACCCATTCATCCACGTCTGTTTATTCATTGAAAAATACCATCGGAAATATACTTTGATACCAAATAATTATTAAAAAATTTTGTTTGAACGTAATTTTAACTGTGCATAAAATATATGTTACTTGTTATATTACATTATTTATAATCATTTTGTAATAATCGCGTAATTACTAAAACTTGATTAAAAATTACAGATTATCTTTTAACCTTTAATCAAACTAATTATTTTCGTTACTCTGCATCTACTCTTTAAAAAGTATAATCTACTCTGTACTCTGTAAAGTATAAAATATACGAAATGTAAATTGTATTCATTCTCATCTATATAAAATATAAAAATTAAAATGTTTTGAAATGCATTTAATGAAAATCAATATTTTTAACTTCAAATTATATGACAAGGCTTTGCTGTAATTTTACCTTTATTTGTTTACATTTAAACTGAAATGATGAATTATCCGTTTCGAGAAATGAATAGATATTATTTTTCATGAATCCGTATAGCAAATCTTCATTCTGATCGTCTTCGATACAAGCAGAAAGTTTTTCTGTTCCAGATAAGTCAGTAAAATAAGACATAACCATCGAGCCATCGTCGATAATTTAAACTTCATCGATCATTTTGAGCCATTGCACAGCATTAATCCAGATCCTCTAGATCAGACTTTTCCATTTGCAATCCTCTTTAACCCGAGAAAATTTTACGCGACCTCCGGTACAAAAGAGATATACAAATAAAATCTTTGCTGGCAATAAATCATAAAACAATTTATTCCAAAACAATTTTTTCGTATATATATTATTTTACCATTTATTAAAGACAAAAGAAAATTTTCATACTAATGCGATGGATGTAGTACAGGTATCCCTCGTATAAGACGGTAGTTACGTTTCGAAAGCGTGCCATGTTATGCGAATCCGTGTTATAAGAAACAAAGGACTTATGCAAACATAGGGTTACGCAGTGCCGGCCCGAGGCAAGTTTCAGGATGGAGCGAAATCCTATTATGGCGCCCCCTTGGTTGCCCCTAATTTATACCCTTTTTCTTTACCACTGAGGCCCCTAGGACTTAGCGCCTGGAGCGGCTGTTCGCCCTATAGTAGGGCCGGCTCTGGGGTTACGTTCCAGAAGTTAGCAAAAGTATACTATTCTTTTTCGTTACTAAAAGAAATGTTTATTAACGCATTCGATACTTTATTTCCATTCAATAATTAATTAACAAAACTCAAAAGTAGACTACTGTTAATAGAGAGGTTGAGGCGCACGTTTTAAACGTGTACGTGTGACGTTCGGCGCCGCTTTCCCGTAAGCCTAAAAGTTTGACAATGGTGTTTGGATAGTCGGTGGAATCACGCTCGACATTTCAAACACCATCGTCAAACTTTTAGGCTTACGGGAAAGTTGTGCCGAACGTTACATGTACACGTTTACACGTTTAAAACGTGCGCCTCAACCTCTCTATTATTAATTTTAGTTAAACGAATGAGTTTTCTTTTTACAAAGTATACGTCACATTTTAAGTTTTTTGTCGATCTTGGTCAGTAATATCAGCGACATTTTCATATTTTAAAAAAATTTTATCATAAAAACTTTTATGGATGGCAAAATAAATATATGTTATTAATCGAAAATTTATTCTAGCGGATCGAGTACCGAGAGATTTTTTTTCTAGGATTTATGTTTGAATACCAAATTGTTCGAGTTGAGATCGGTACGAGTACCGAGATAGTGTCGTATTTCGTTCGTAATTTTTACGAACGAAATACATTACGATTGCTTACCTACGGTTTAAAAAAGCTTAATAACACTCACCTAAAAATGTTTAAATTTTCCTAAATACGAAGATTAATGTATAAAAACAAAACATAGTGTCTAAAGTTTAAATGCAACGACGACGATTTTTATCGTTGACTAGCTTACCCGTCGCGCATTGCTGCGATCTCAGAAGAAAGGATATTCAAGCAAACTCGTTACGATAAAATTAAATTTTCATTTTATCATTTTTATTGAAACTTATTATTATTATTGATTTTCATCGGGAAAACATTTCAAAGTGTCGTTTCAATTCTATTTATTTATTGAAGTGCTTGTGGATACACGATATTTTTTGTTTTTCCGTCTGGTGCGTACACGAATAAATCGGAAGGTTTTCCGACGCATGAGCCGGCCACATACGGTTGTCCATGCGAGAGGCACGTATTCTCCAAATTTAACCCACACACTCGCAGCGATTGTTAGAAGTTCGATATTCCCCATTTTTATATATATTTTTTAATCCTTTACAATTCTAATTATTTAATTGCTCCTTCCTCTCTTCCTTGGCATGTTGTGAAATTTCTGATAGTCGGATAATAAACCGTTTTATTGTAATTTGTCTTTTTAAATTATTTTCATCCACGTCTGTTTATTCATTGAAAAATACCATCGGAAATATACTTTGATACCAAATAATTATTAAAAAATTTTGTTTGAACGTAATTTTAACTGTGCATAAAATATATGTTACTTGTTATATTACATTATTTATAATCATTTTGTAATAATCGCGTAATTACTAAAACTTGATTAAAAATTACAGATTATCTTTTAACCTTTAATCAAACTAATTATTTTCGTTACTCTGCATCTACTCTTTAAAAAGTATAATCTACTCTGTACTCTGTAAAGTATAAAATATACGAAATGTAAATTGTATTCATTCTCATCTATATAAAATATAAAAATTAAAATGTTTTGAAATGCATTTAATGAAAATCAATATTTTTAACTTCAAATTATATGACAAGGCTTTGCTGTAATTTTACCTTTATTTGTTTACATTTAAACTGAAATGATGAATTATCCGTTTCGAGAAATGAATAGATATTATTTTTCATGAATCCGTATAGCAAATCTTCATTCTGATCGTCTTCGATACAAGCAGAAAGTTTTTCTGTTCCAGATAAGTCAGTAAAATAAGACATAACCATCGAGCCATCGTCGANTAAAGGACACACACACACACACACACACACACACACATACATTCATTTTTATATATATAGATAAGAAAGCTAGGAGAAGAAACAATAAAAATTTCACTATCAATTTTCATTAAAGTAAACCTGACGAAAAGCAAAAATGAAATTAAAAATGTCAATATTCTAAAATCTCTGGGCGAGTTTTAGACAACATGCGTGATTATTTGAATAAAAAATTCGAATAGCGAAGTTTGCACATAAAAGTTGGGAAATTTTGTTCAGAGGATTTCTCAAATTCTCGAACCATGTTGTAGAAATATCGTGTTGTGCAAGGGATATCTGTACATATTTATTTTTTCATAAAGAATTAAATCTTGGATAAATGTTTGATACTGCAAGATACATGGCATCTTCAACGTCTTTCAGAGCTGGCCAACGTTTGATTTTGTAATCGTCCATGCTGAAAACGTCGCTTCACATAAATACGTTGTACAAAATGATAGACGTTTAGGATAATTTCACAGTGTTGGAAATTCTGTCTGATTCCAAACCATTTGGGAAACTCGAATTATAAATCTGTTTCACTCGTTCACTTTGCAAATTTTTTTGAGCTAATGGCAGATGACTGATGTTTTTCATTTCAATTGAGTATGAACCCAATATACGTTTGTCAAATCAAAATTTGGAGGAAAGTATTTTTGAAATTGTGCTACCAGGTATTTTAGATGATTAATTATAATTTTCGCAATTAAATCTTTGGATAGGTTATTTTCAATTATAAAAACATCTGTGGTTGTAAACATTTCTTTAGAAATGTTTACAACCACAGATGTTAAATATTTGAATATGTATTAAAATGGAAGAATATGTGAGTTGAAACATTTCTTAGATGAACATTGCTAAAATAAGCGCAATCATGAAAAATAATTTTTAGTTCGAAAGCGGCGCCGAACGTCACACGTACACGTTTACACGTTTAAAACGTGCGCCTCAACCTCTCTANCCATATTCTTCCATTTTAATACATATTCAAATATTTATTTGTATATATTTCCAAAATAATTGGCATAAAATGTGAGTTGAAACATTTCTTAGATGAATATTGCTAAAATAAGCGCAATCATGAAAAATAATTTTTAGTTCAATAATTGCAAAAAAGCAAGCATAAATTTAAAATATATTCATAAAAATTAAAAACAGAACCGTTATTGTTATTCTTTCAAATTTGTTCATAAATAAAGATTAAAAGTAGACTAATTAAAAAGAATTGCAAATATAATTAAATTAAATGGTTAAATATAATTAAAATTCAGTGTAAAATAATTATTAACACAAACTATGCATGTATTGAAGGAGGAAAAACTAAATTGAATTTTTTATTTAAATATTACTTACTTGTTTGCATAATATCTGGAATATTAAAGAATTAATGTAAATTTAAATGCGTTAATGAGAGAAGTTTTTCAATTGAGAACAAATATTTTACAATTTACTAGTTGATAGAGTCGTATTAAATAGAAGTTTAATTAAAATTTCATAAAATCTATTATAAAAAACTCCTTTCTTCTTGCCTGATGTACTGTATCAATATGGTCGAATATGCCTACATCAATTATCACTAGAATTAAATTTATTTTATAAACAATTACTTCTTCCTGGTTTTAACAAATTAATATACAGTAATTTGTATATACAGTAGCTCTATTCACTTCTAGTTATTTGTTTTGTTAAAGATAGATGATGCCCAGTTTATCTGTTTCTTTTTGACACTTCTGAGATTCATTAAACTTTCAAATATAGAGTGAAGAGAACTACCCATCTGAAACAATTTGTAACGATTATAGAGTAATTATGTTTATATTTAAATTAAATTAAAAATTATTATAATATGGAATAATTTTACTTTGATAGGAAATTTCTTAGTGATGTTAAAAATTCTCCTAAAGTTAAGCACAAAGAAACCTTACCAAATCTTTTCATGAAATTTAAAATCTAAAGAAAAAAAACATATATAGTATTAACACACTCGATATATGTTTAAATAATTTGTATTTACACGTAGTTTTTAAACATATACCATCAACTTTTTTTCAATGGAAAAGTCAATTTCGCAAACCTCCGGATATCTTGAAAGGAATTCTGCATCTGTAAATAAATATTACTGTATTATTATTATTATTATTATGTTGGGTTTAACGGGTTATACTCGGTTGATACCGGTGGCTGTGTACTATGCCGGACCGGAGTCAAGGCATAGCAACCAAAACAAAACTAAAATTAAATAAGTGTGTCAGTGTCTGTATTCAGGAATTTCCTAACAATATGGCAGGTATTCAATATAGTAGCCTTCTGTAGTGTGATGTATGTATTTCTATTCAATTGTAATGTTTCCAGGCTTTTGTGTAGTGTGTGTGGTATCACACCTGTACAGGAGAGAACGACAGGTACAATAAGCACCCTATCCATCCTCCACAGATGCCTTATTTCCTGGGCGAGTTCTGTGAACTTGCTAATTTTTTCAGTGCACGTGTTTTGTACATTATGAGTGTTTGGAATGGACTATTCTGCAAGGCAAAAATAAAGAATTTACGTACACATTTTCAACTTTTTAATTCGATAGTGATGAATTCAATGGGCTATGAGGCCCCAGTTTGAAGCATGGAAAAATTCAACGACTTTGAAAAAATACAGAATATATTTATACGTAAGATATTCCAGCTAGAATATAATATCCCAGGTAGTGCTTTAAGATTAGAAACAAACAGATTAAGGATAAATACTATACTAATAAAAAGATATTTAATGTTTCTACAAAAAATTATTAAGGCAGAAGACATAACGACAAAACTGCTGTTCGTATTATATCACAAATCAAGAGAAATAGACTTAAGACGAAGTTGGATAATTCAGCTATCGAAGATAATAAATAAATATGGATTTTCGATTAAACTGTTCATGGACCGTACATATAATATGGAGCAGTATAGTAAAGATATAATATACAGTCAATCCCCCTATAAGACGGTAGATACGTTCCGTTCTTTATGAATCAATTTTGTAGGAATCACAGCCTGACACGTGTGAAGTTTACGGACTATGGCTGTTTGAAAGGTTTTCTTCCATAAAATTAATCGATTCTAGACTAATCCGACTCAACATTTCCAAAATACGTATATTTTTTTTGTCCGTATAATCTGTATAAACTACGCTATAAACAAAAATTGTAGGATTACTTACCGAGTGTGCACCATTCGACATTGCCGTTGCTCAAGCTTGTTTTCGTCGCAGAACAGCGCAGCAAACTGCAGCCACGATTTCTGATGTTATTTTTCTGCGAAAACTTCGCTGAACTTTGGAGACATCATTAATATAAATAATTTTTATCACCGTTGAATAAGAAATGTTTCTTTCACAAGAAATGTATAAAATTACAGTGCTGTATTAAACTTACAGTACCTAATTTACATACTGTACAGACGATAGCTCGCCTAAACTGTCTGTAGCGTGGAGCTAGACGGCGGAAAGTATATATATAATTATAATAAAGTTACAATAAATTAAGTTAATATATAATTATATATACAGTACCTAATTTATATAGGCCTATAATTATATGTACAGACGATACTAAACTCAATTTACCCGCCTAAACTGTCCGTAGTGTGGCGCTGGACAGCGGAAAGTAGTTTGACTGCCCGATGACGTTTTACGTAATATAGGAGTTTTTTTACTGTTGTTTACAGATACCGCCATAATTTTTTCGCCATCTTATAGGAATCGTAATTATAGGAATCCGTCTTATAGGGGGATCTACTGTATAGAGTTATGGAATACTCTACTATCCAAGACATTGAAGATATACGAAAACGAGAAAGCACAAGCTGGTATGCAATAATTCTAAATTATCCAACAAATAACAACTATATACTGACAAATATTGCTTTTAACATTAAAAAGTTTTTTATACAGATTAGATTAAATAAAAATGGAATAAATATAAATGGTAAATATATAGACTACAACCAATCTAAATGTCCAAACTGTACCAAAAATTTATCTAAAATTCATATTATATGTGAACATTGTAATGAAAAGGACAAACTTCAAAGGCTCCGGATTGGGCCACTGGCTAAATGTACTAATGAGTTGGAAATGTATAAGACATTTGATAGAGCTAATGTAAACACGATCTATATGTTATATAACTACGTTAAACAACTAATTAAATGACAATTGTGATAAATTATTAATATAATTCTACAGATTAATAAATAGAAAAAACTAAAGTTGTTAAAATAATATTAAATGAAATGTTAATAGGCGTTTTTAAAACGCTCTTGTAACAGGCGAAAGCCTTCTACGACAATAAATAATTTCAATTTCAATTGAGTGTTTGGAATGGTTATGTCTATAATGTATGTGATTTTATTGTGTTTGTCAATGAGTGTGATGTCTGGTCTGTTGTGGTAAATTGTTTTATCTGTGATTATGGCTCTGTCGTAGTACAGTTTGTGTGTGTTGTTTTCCAATACTGTCTGTGGAATATACTTGTAGTATGGTTCGTGCATGTCTACCAATTTGTGTTTCTTTGCAAGATCTTGGTGTATTATATTTGCTACTTGATTGTGTCTATGTAAGTAATCTGTCTGTGCCAAGAGCTTGCAACCAGAAGTGATGTGTTGTATAGTTTCTGGCATGATGTGACATTTTCTGCATGTGTCATTTGTGAGTGTTGTATCTTTAAACTGGATCTGTATATGAGCACTCTCAGGCATTTTAGTGTCTTACATTCTTTACACCCATAAATACCAATCTGAAATCACAGAAATGATAGATCTTCTATATTATTCTTCACATTTGAAGGGCATTTATACAAACAGAACAAAAAGATACCCATAGGAAACAAGTATTAGCAATTCTACAGAAATTAGTTGTAAAAAATTAGAAAAGAACATCTTACTGAACTTTGTAAATTAATTCATATTATATAAAAGATACATATTCTAACTTAGGTGTTCTGCGTTACTGAACACGGCCCAGATATGTTGACTGCTACTTTCCAATGAATTGTGGGTAATTGGTAAGACATTTGAATGGAATCCATCTTGCTGAGAATGGAATTATGGGAACTAAGCACTTCGTACTCGAGTTGGAACGTCGTTGATGACGTCAAATTGTTGACTTCAACACTCAACACTCGCGTTGAAAATTGGAATGTCCCGTATGTAAATTAACTTTCCTTCCTGAATTAGTTTCGTAGGAAACGTCATTAATATCGAGCATGCGCACAGAGTGAAATTTGTACCGACTCGTTAGTAATTGGCTTAATTAGTTCGACTTGACCAACGTATCTAGGTCACGCCGGGTTGAATTGCTGTGGATTAGAAGGTAAAATGACCAGAATTACTGTCGACGTAAAGGAAGCTGAAAAAAATATTTCGGATAAGACTGCACTAGCAACATTATAATAACTTCAGATATAGAAAGCCATTTGGTAATTATAGTTTAAGGGAATATGAATTTTTTAAGTTATTTTTATTTAAAAGAAGGTATATTTAATAGACATTCAGAAAACGCTTAACATTTTTACGGGCGATCCGTATATAAAGTGCTATAAACAAAATATCATAGGACTACTTACCGATCACGTATCTAATAATGAATAATTATATGAAACAATAAAGGTAAATCAGCTCGCTAACACAATACAGTAGAGCGTCGTTTATCCGAAAGCTGGTTATCCGAAAGCATTCCAGTCGGCAAATTTAAATTTTCGCTAGTGCTGTGGCGCTGCAATCTTCGGCTATTTCTCGGGCTACTCAAATATTTTACGTTTTTGATACTAAATTAACATCTGAAGTATAATTTTTTATTGTTTTTATATTTTTCAATATATTTATTTTGTTTGTACAAAATAAAAAAATAATTTTTAACGATACAATAGTCTTCGTTAGGCTTAACATCGACGAAAATTCAACGCGAAGCGACATGCAACGGAGAGAAATTTCAACATGGGATAAATTAATATATTTTTTCGTACATGATTCGTTATCCGAAAAATAAGTTATCCGAACCACCCCAGTCCCCAATCAATTCGGATAAACGACGCTCTACTGTAATTCTATTATGATATATATTATGATGATAAATATTAGTCGGATGCAACATAAGATGTCTATTGTCTTGATGTAAATAAATATAACTCAATTTTGCTTAAGAAATGAAAGATTAGGCCATTTAAAAGCAGAGTTATTTATCGATTTATCATACGTTGTTATATGTTGATTTTAATCCTTATTTAAAATGGAATGATATTTTAATATTGCTATTAACGATGTCTTCAAACTTCAGCGAATTCTTCTGCGAAAAGAATAAGTTACCAGGAACACGTCAGATGCGAGGCGAGAGAGTGGTCACGTGGCCGGATGACATCGAGAAGTCACGTGACGTCTTCGTGCGTGTTTAGATGTGCCGCCCCGCGACGAAAACAACCTTAAGCAATGGCATGTCAGAAGGGACATGATCGGTAAGTGTTCCTATGATATTTTGTTTATAGTACTTTATATACGGATCGCCCGGAAAAATGTTATGCGTTTTCTGAATGTCTATTAAATATACCTTCTTTTAAATAAAAATAACTTAAAAAATTCATGTTCCCTTAAACTGTATAATTACCAGCCATTTTGTTGTGAACTAATTGGTCAAAATGTCAGCGTAAGTAAGAGTAGGGATAAGGTCATTCTCGGTTAACTCATTCGACTTCACAAACGTATCGTATATATTGAATTTCTTCTGTAACGAATTTATATAAAAAGTAAAAGAAAGGATGATTTAATAAGACGAAACAAGGAAGACAAAAGTTTATTGCGTCAGACATTTGGTAAGTCTTATTCTTTGTTCATTTTACTTTAATGTTTTTAATGCATAAACCGAATGTCTTGCGAGAAGCATCATATTCTCGTAACTATTGTATCAATTAACAAGAAACTTGTGGAAGCTGTCATTTTGGGTTTTCGTTGGTTAAGTCGTGAAATTTTCTGTTCGTTAGTTGTAACATGTCGTTAAAATCCGCCATATTAGTTCGAAGTACAGTAGAACCTCGAAAACTCGACCTAATGTGGACCGAAGGGTGGCCGAGTTTGTGAAAATGCCGAGTTATCGGAAATGGGGTTTAAAAAAATAAGTACGAGTATTTCCTCAGAAAATACTGTACTGTACTTGTACAGTATTTACTTGTACAGAATATAACAGAGAATAAACTGCCCAAATACCCTTAAACAAAGGAAAACTACGTACTTTATGAAGGCTACGTACTTTACTACATGAAAATGAAAATTAATGAATACACTGTGTACAGTAATTTACCTGATAAGACAGACCTCAGAAAAATACTTTGAGAGCTTTTATACTTTTATAAAGCTGTCTATAATGAAAATTAATTAACTAAGGATGTTTTCGCCCTGCCAAGGCGTGGACCAGTTATCCGGAGTGCTAAGTTATCGAGGGACGAGTTTTCGAGGTTCTACTGTACCACGTTGGTTCTTGTATATTTCGAATGCAGTAGTTTGTTTTTAAATCCTATAAAGCTGCGTAGAAGTTACTAAACACATTTTACAACAGATAAACGTAAAAATGTAGTCATTAAAATAGCTGCTTGTTATATACAACAAAATTATGATAATACTCGATAGTTAAAATACATAGTATGTATTTGCATTTTACTTTTGGTTTTTTAAAATAGCTTTATAAAGCTTATATAATACATTAAATATGAATTACATATCAATTTTTACAGTAAAATGCTTTTCTCATATCTTTTCTTGCATGTCACTTAGTCTACTTTATTACTATTTGGGTTTTAATGTTTGATATATCACTATTTTGTTCATTGTTCTTAAATGTGTTTTTTTTTTTATATATATTTTGATATTTCATGTAATATAGTAAATACTTTATTAATCATTCCGAACTTATAGATTCTTGGACTATGTCTTATATTGTTGTGATAAAATACTTCAGTACAATATCTGAATTGAAAATAATATATACTAAAACTTCAAGAAATCAAAAATTTTTAATGATTCAGAACTTTGAACTGAAGAACTTACGTGATTTTATAATTAACAAATGAATTTCTGAAATTTATTAAGTTATCTGCAGATATTTCTATTGAATTGTATTCTTTATTCATAAGTTTCTAGGTTTTTCTCCAATTATCTGTAGATAAAATAAATGAGTATTTTTAGGAATGTCTGAAAACTACAGTATTTCATATAATTTATTTGTAATTTATTATTTTTAAATTTCATTCTGTTAGTTGTAAGACATCTTTTAATGCATCCCTCACAATAACAATACAAAGGTGGTCTACTAGTACTTTCAACCTTATAGAAATGTCATCTTCAGATGAACAAAAAATATAATTTAAAATTTATATAAAACTTTTATATGCAATGGCACATTATCCTATGGGCAAAAGGGGCAATTGCCGGTACCCCAAAACAGTCTTTTTTTGGAAAACATTTCTCCCCAAAGAAAAATGTCTGAAGTCAGCACTGTACATGGGGCCATCTAATTCAAATTTTCCTGGGCCCAAGAAGCTATAACATAGCAGAGTTTTTATATAAATGATTTTTAAATATTAGTACCCTGTATTAGGCTGAATGCATTAAATGCATCTTAAAAGTCATGTTGAATCCAGTTTGTTTAGAATGTATCCTTCAAATTTATTATGCAAATACCTGAAGTTTTCAGTTAAATAATGCTAGATATTTGGCTTTTGGTGGTTCAGATTCTTTCGAAAAAGGATATACAATGAAATATTTTCCTAGAGATTCTTTTTGGACAGAATGCCAGGAAAATTTGAAACCTTCAAATAGTTCTGCTTTGTAAGAAGTTCATTTGAGTCTCAAATATGGGAGAAAATAAAGAGTTGTTTAAAAATGTATCAAAAAGGAGTGATGAAAAAGTTGAATGAGTTTTCATCTGATGATCTTGATGTAATTAAAGAACCTACAAAAGAAAATGATAGTTATTATACCAGAAAATTTGTTGAAAATAAGCCTCTAAACGTGCACAAACTAATTTCTTATATATTTGGCTAATTAATAGTGTAGAAAAAATTTCAAAAATGTAGAAGTACATTGCATCAATAGGATCCAAAAGAAATTTTCTTTCAGACTAGTTGAAATTGAAAGTTTTAAAAAGTTGTCAATGTTTATTTTTTTTCAAAAACAAAAAACAATTTTTTTTCTGGAAGATATCTTCCACTAATGTAAGGTCTGTCCCAAAAGTTTAGGTAAATTTCAAAAATTACATCAAAAAACATTTTTAATGGTTAATTGTGCTTTCATTATTTTTAATAACATAATACACACAATGACATTGAATTCACAATGACATTGAGTTTGTTACAATTGTGGTTTCAAGTTAAATCATGAATCCTCAATTTAACATTTTAAGTTCCATAACATTGGAAAACTGACAACCACCTTTCTTGTCATGATCCCCATAAGTTTTCTATTGGGTTTAAGTCAAAACATCTTGTGGGCCATTTCATAACATTCACATTTTGATTCTAAAGTCATTTTTTGGTTGAATTTGAACAATGAATGGAAGCATTGTCCTGTTGAAATGTCCAAATTGGACAACCTATCATTTCTGCTATAGGAAAGAGATGTTTCTAAGGTTGTGTTCTGAAGTCTGACCAGATGAAAATTCAAGAATAGATGAATGAAGGTAATCTTTTTTTTTACTTGGTTTATTGGCAAGCGCCAAATCCGACAGATGGCTGCCGAAACAGGTAAGGAACCGACCACGTGTTTGTTCAGTGCCTGAGCCGATTCAGTTTCTATCGGTGACGACTACTGCGAGGATCAAATGGAGAACAAATCATTGAATTTATGTCAAATTCTAGACTACCATTATATCGGCAACAGGAAACGTTGTCTTGTAGAAGGTGAAGCCGTTTTGGATGCTGGGCTCATTTTATTTTGTGGATTAAACTCTAACAACAACACTGAAGTTCATGTTGTTGCTTTAGTGTTGCAATCTCAGATATTGGCATTTTAATACATCTCAATTACAGGGAAAATGCACGTGCAAAGCGGGGCTGTCTGGTTTTTGTAAACGTGATAGCATGTTTGTTACATGTTAACAGGTGAGAAGTATTTAAATATTTTAAGCAGTATACACCATGTTCCAATATAAAAACAGTTTTATTTATCATAATACAGTAGAGCGTCGTTTATCCGAAACGTCGGTTATCCGAAAGAATTACAGTCGGCCTAAAGTATAATTTTTATTTGTTTTTATATTTTTCAATGTATTTATTTCGTTTGTAAAACACAAAGAAATCATTTTTAACGATACAATAGCCACGATTATTATTTTAGGTTTACGTTAGGCTTAACATCGACGAAAATTCAACTCGAAGCGACACGCAACGGAGAAAAATTTCAACACGGGATAGGTTAATATATTTTTTCATACATAATCGGTTATCCGAACAACCCCAGTCCCCAATTGATTCGGATAAACGACGCTCTACTGTAGTTAGTGCCAATCTGAAGGCTACCCTGCTGAGTAATTCAGCACTTATACAACATAGGCCAGTCAAAAGTTTGTAGCACACATTACTGGTATGTTTTGTGTGTGTGTACGTCTCATATCCAAAACGGCTTCATCTTCTACAAGACAACGTTTCCTGTCGCCGATATAGTCTAGAATTTGACATAAATTCAATTTGTTCTCCATTTGATCCTCGCAGTAGTCGTCACCGATAGAAACTGAATCGGCTCAGGCACTGAACAAACACGTGGTCGGTTCCTTAACTGGCGTCTAATTACAGAACGATTCCGTAGCCGTAGTTCTGTTTTTTACCACGAGATGTCGCTACTTCGTGACGTCAAGAAGCTGGACAAGCATAATTCTGACTGTGGTATAAATACACCACAGTCAAAATTAATTTATTACGAACAAAATTTACTACTGTTCGTTTGTTGAACGTCAAATTTGTCTTTTGTCTAATGTTTATTGTTTATATTGTAGCTTTAAAAGATGACTATTGTTCATTATTTTTATCAAAATATTTAAAATTATACAGTATATTATAAAAGTTATTCTACAGAATATGTAGACTTTCGTTCTTAAATTCTTTCAATCTCAAGATTTTCCCGCTGAATTTTCAATCTCTTACTCGAATTTTTTTTTTTGTATTATTTAATAAAATTATTCATCGCTTTTTAGAAATAATTTAAACGTTTTATATTAGAAAATTTGCAATACAGTATTTTATTTCACAATTAACGTTTATCTTTGAAATGTTCCACAAAACCAAACTCAATTTTCTGCATAGGCATCCTTATTTGGTTTTCACGAAATTTTAAACAACCTAACCCTAGCGAATACCAAGAGTTAAGTGTATCTTGTGTAATTTGAGTAAAGTCTTTTGAATTGGTAGTTTAAATCCATCAACAAATTATCATCGTCACTAAAATATTAGTGAACTTTTTGTAGCCTGATTTAACAGATCTGCAATGATTCATTTGAACGTTAGCTAAGAAAAAATGCCACAGTATTCATAAGAAAGATGTTTTCTTTATGAAAAAGATTTATTGAAAATTATACATTTGCAACATTTTCATATGCACAATCTGTTATTGAATGTTTTCCTTTTGTAAGTACAGTACATTTCTGAACTGAGCGTAGTCATGATCCCATGTGCCAGAGCCGCACGAGTAGAATTTATAAATTCCATGAATTTTTAGACAGTACGACACAATTAACTTTAGTTGGTTCTCAACTTATCTGTGACTTTCCATTCGTAGAAATCTGTCAAATACAGTACATAATATTTTTAATTACTACTGAATAAGCTGT